GGAAGTCTTTAAAGGCTACTATATTTTCAGTTTTTCTTTCTTTTTTGAAATCCAATAGAATTGGAAAGAACTGTGTTTTATATTTAATTGACTTGAAATTCATTAGTGATTGGAGGAAATTATATTCAGTACTTTATTATCCATGTAAGGCTAATAAGAATTTGAAGTGCTTAAGACTTAAAGTAGTACTCCAAGCTGCCGATGTACCTTCTTTCTGAGGATCAATTATACGTAATTCTACTCGATCCGCAAATTCTAATAAAAGATTGAAATGTTTAATTTTGACTGAACTTGATGTCGTACGCCGAGCTGCCTACGTACCTTCTTTTTGAACATCCAGTCACACGTAGTTCTACTCTATCCATTTCATTTTCTATAAGACTTTGATAAAGCACTAGATTTCTTCGGCACATGTAAGTAAAGCAAAGTATGACAGTTCAAGAGATAATGGAATAAGAATTACTATTGAGAGTTAGAAGAAACGAAGAGTTCGAGAGATGATGGCTAAAAAGGAAACTAGGAATGATGATTCACTTGAGTTAGCCCATATCATAACCTTCAGCACCATAAAGACTAGCTAGTCAAGTCACTTCTGATCTAAAATCTATCTGAGAAAATAGAGGTCAAAAATTTGTTAGGATAAGATATGGTCAAAAAACACCTAACCAAGATTTGGCGAGATCTGTATTGAGTTAGTTTGCCAGGTGTTTTGCCTATAAATGCATCGCTTGCTCCTACGGATACATAAGTTATGCAGTATATGATTGGCAAATGCATCAATTGATAGTTATGAACAGTAAACTAAATCAAAGGAACCAAATCACAGGTTTTACTGCACAAAATAGCAAACGCAAGGAACTTAATAAAAGAAGCAAAAGTTGAATCTTTACATGTCCTTTACTCATCCCTGTCACTCGTCGTGCGTAAAAGAAACCATACAATATGCAATAAGTTCTTTTCCTATAGAAAAAATAATATCTAAGAGAAAATGAGAACATACGAAAAAGAGAAGGAAATTAGACACACTCCCAGAGAAAGGAAAAAAGAAACAAATTAAAAAAATGAGACCAACTAACACCCCTAACAAGGAATACCATCCAAACTGAATATGCAATCAGTGATCAATACATAGGTCAGTAGCCCAATAACAACAGATGCTCCATTCAATAACTATGAAAAGAAAAGAGATTGCTTTACCTTTTCTTGCCAATAATTATGCCCACATCATACAGCTTCACTTGTCCCGCCTAAAAGACAACTTCAATATGCAACTATGTGATTGTGAAACTTGACAAGGTACAGCTTTCTCATTGACGAACTTCTCGTGTAAACTCATATTTATGACTATTTTTTTCATAAATTTATATAAGAAAGGAAAGAGATGAGGAAGGAAAAAAGGTACAAAGAAAGTTTTCTATGGAAGCTTGGATTTAAAGCCACCTAATGTGACTGTAAATTTAATAATTATAAACAGGAAACTAAATTAAAGAACCAAATCATAGAACATACATACATACATACATATATATATATATATATATATATCTGTAATAAGCGTCACAGGTTTTACAGCACGCAAATAACAGAGGCAATGAACTTAGTAAAAGAAGCAAAAGGTAAATCTTTACCTCTTATTGGCAATAGTTCCTTTACTCATCCCTGTCTTTTGGCCTGCCTAAAAGAGATCTTACTAATATGCAATAATTTATATTCTTATGAAAAAAATAATATTAAATAGAAAAAAAGGAGAATATACAAAAAACATAGAATTCCATAGATCCCGATTCATTTATGATGCAATGGTATATTACCAAAGAATGCTAGAGACACGTAAGCTGAAGAGAAAAGCTTGAATGCAAAATACAACCCTATACGTAGCATACCTACACCAAGAGTTCCAATCAAAATACCAATGACGTGAGCATCTTTCGCCTTCTCCACCGGGTAACATCTGCATGAATTGTTACTCGCGAAAATCCAAGAATGGCATGTAAGGAAAGATCAACGGTACATCAGGTCGAGGAAAGACAGATGATTTAACATGCAAAAAACAGAATACGAACTTCAGAAATAGTAAATAGAGATGAAGAGAAGCACACAAGGATGACTGTGCTGGAAATAATACCTACACGTAAGAATCTGTCTATGTTAAGAAAAAGTCTGCCACCACATGATCTTCTGTTGCATCATACCTAACCAAAACCAACAATAGAATTAAAGACAACAAACCATAACATAGGAACAAGAATATCGTACCCTGTTTCTTCAATATATAACCTAGTTTAGCAAACTAATGACGTCTAATACATATCAAGCGATAATAATTTGATTTTGTGATCTATTTTTCCAAAGCAAACCACTCAAAAAAATATCTGACCAGATTGAAGCAACTACAGTTCAATTCATGTTGTCGTCGTATAAATGTCGGCACAAAAAATCATCATATTTTTTAAGAATATCAAAACTCAATATTTCATGGGTTCTGTTAAGCAGAAAGGATAAGATACCAAACACTGTAAATTAAGCAATTAGGGGTCGAATTGCCTGCAGCAGTGAGAACTACGCTCATGCAACACGTACACACTGTGAAGTAATTAAATACAAAAGCTACTTACAGGTTCATAATAAATTGAAGAAAATTGATAATAAATGGTCAATTCGAAGTAAATAGAAATAAACAGACATTTCTTTCCCTTTCTCCCATTCATTTGCCAGGAAACTGCACAACTTTCTTATTTGATCAACCAATTTTAAGTTTATCCAAAGATGTAGACGAGCAACAACGAATGCGCGAGACCATATTTAGGATTAATGTTTGATATCGTACTAGATAGTTTACCCACCTATGTCGCAACCATTAAATGTCACTACAACATTTGCTAATGCTGAATTATCAGAGTCCATCCAAAAAGCAAGGGTTCCTCCGTATTGTGCCATTCAGGTAAATCCTAGATCAAGTCTCCGATGTTATACATGGCACTGGTTGGTGGACCGATACTGTCACTGTTAGCATGACAACTAAATGGTCAAGGGAGTCACTGAAAATTTAATTAAATGATCATGGGTACTTAATATACCTGTTTGCCACTGACCAACCGTCCATGCAAGGGCGGATTCAGAGCAAACAATTCCACCTATCACTGCAAATGTCGTTAAAAGAAAGAAGCGAATAAACGAAGCGAGAAAGAAAGAGACTTTTCTACAAAAGCTCAAATTCTACCTCAAATACAAAGAGATTATGTAGTATTCGCATAGAAAATACATCACGCAAACAATAAAGCAAAGAAAGAAAGAAGGAAAGAAAAGCAAAGCCAAAAAAAAAAAAAGAAAGAAACGTCTTTCTAACATCTTTCTCCGAGGGAATCAAACAGTGCAGCGATGACTTACCAAACGCATGAATAACTGCATATTTAAATGATAATTTAAGTTTAGAAACAAACATAGAAAAAAAGCAAAAAACACAAAGAAAGGAAAGATAATAAAGAAACTATTCTATCATATCTCGAATTCTGCCTCTAGAATGCTTCCGTCGTTGTTAGTGAGTGCTGCAATATCTGTGAATGTATACAAGTTATGTAGTGTACAATAAAAAATAATAACTGCAAAAAACAAAATGAATGTTAACATATCCTCAACAATAACTGTGCCAAATTATCAAAAGCCACATCAATATTCTATAAATGATCATAAGTAGTTAATATACCTCTTTCCCACTAACCGCCATCCATGCAAAGCGCGAATCCAGAGCAAACAATCCCATCTATCATTGCAGATTTAATTAAAAGAAAGAAACAAAGCTAAGAAGAAAGACGGAAAGGAACTTTTCTACCAAACCTCAGAATCTACCTCTAATGCAAGGAGATTATACAGAATATTCGAATAGAAAATCCATCATACAAATAATGAAACAAAGAATGAGTGAAATAGATAGAAGGAAGGAAAGAAAAGAAAAGCCAGTCTCCTCAGGAATTAAATAGTGCAAGAAGATCAAGTCATACGTAATTTTTGTTCGATTCACATTCAATTCTTTATTATTCATGAACTATAATAAAAGATTGAAATATTTAAATCTGACTGGACTTGGAGTAGTACTCAAAGTTGCCTACGTACCTTCTTTTTTAGAATCAAGTAATACGTAGTTATGTTTAATCCATGAAGTCCAATAAAAAATTTCAATGCTTCAGTTTTACTGAACTTGAAGTGGTACGCCAAGCGGCCTACGTACAATCTTTTTGAGAATTACGTCATGCATAATTATGCTCAATCCGCGAATTCTAATAAAAAATTAAAACGATTAATTTGACTGAACTTAGTGTAGTACACCAAGCTGCCTACGTACCTTCTTTTTGAGGATCAAGTCATACGTAGTTCTACTCCATCTGTTTCATTTTTTTGATAAGAACTCATAGATAATAAAGTATTGGATTTCAAGAAAACTTAAAACGAAATGCACTGCTATTCAGGTTTGCAGATTTCGAGATGAACGAGAAATTAAAGATATATGACGTTTTTTTATTTAAAAGAAAATAAGGGACCTTTCAAATAGTTATATATTTCAAGTGAAATGAAAGATGAAACTCAATGTCTTTTGCTCATTTGTGTAATTTTCGATTGTTTCAAGAAAGATTGGGAAATGAAATGGAGTATATAGCAATACAAATGAAGAATCGAAGACAATGACTTTTGCTCCACCGGATAATTTTTGAAAAAGTTGAAAAAATCGCTTTCGTAGTACAAGCAGACTTGAAGAGTGGCTTTTGTTGCTTTTTGGGTTTTGAAGGCAATAAGAAAATAAAGAGTCGGTACATTCTTAGCATAATTAAGTTTAAAGATCGACAGAACAAAACTAAGTTACTGTCAAATGCTAACAAAGTACTGATTCTTTCCCTTCAAATTCTAAAAAGCCACATACATCATTGTTGAAGGTTACTTGTGCTGAACAAAGCGATGTAATTTTCATTTCCAACATTTCCAAATATACCCAGTGCATTCGAAAGTCATTGGGATAGATTTTCTTCATTTGCCTTTCTGCGAACACTCCATTCATTACTCAATCTTTTTTGTAGTAGTAAAACATTACACGGGTAAGCGAAACAAGTTAAATTTCATCTTTTATTTTCTTTGATATACGGAAGTCTTTAAAGGATACTATATTTTCAGTTTTTATTTCTTTTTTGAAATCCAATAAAACTGGAAAGCACTGTGTTTTATATTTAATTGACTTGAAATTCATTAGTGGTTGGAGGAAATTTTCTTTCTTTTTTGAAATCCAATAGAATTGGAAAGAACTGTGTTTTATATTTAATTGACTTGAAATTCATTAGTGATTGGAGGAAATTATATTCAGTACTTTATTATCCATGTAAGGCTAATAAGAATTTGAAGTGCTTAAGACTTAGAGTAGTACTCCAAGTTGCCGATGTACCTTCTTTCTGATGATCAAATTATACGTAATTCTACTCGATCCGCAAATTCTAATAAAAGATTGAAATGTTTAATTTTGACTGAACTTGGTGTCGTACGCCGAGCTGCCTACGTACCTTCTTTTTGAACATCCAGTCACACGTAGTTCTACTCTATCCATTTCATTTTCTATAAGACTTTGATAAAGCACTAGATTTCTTCGGCACATGTAAGTAAAGCAAAGTATGATAGTTCAAGAGATAATGGAATAAGAATTACTATTGAGAGTTAGAAGAAATTAAGAGTTCGAGAGATGATGGCTAAAAAGGAAACTAGGAATGATGATTCACTTGAGTTAGCCCATATCATAACCTTCAGCACCATAAAGACTAGCTAGTCAAGTCACTTCTGATCTAAAATCTATCTGAGAACATAGAGGTCAAAAATTTGTTAGGATAAGATATGGTCAAAAAACACCTAACCAAGATTTGGCGAGATCTGTATTGAGTTAGTTTGCCAGGTGTTTTGCCTATAAATGCATCGCTTGCACGTAAATAACAGAGGCAGTGAACTTAGTAAAAGAAGCAATAGATAAATCTTTACCTCTGCAATAGTTCCTTTACTCATCCCTGTCTTTTGGCCTGCCTAAAATAGATCTTACTAATATGCAATAATTTATGTTCTTATGGAAAAAATAATATTAAATAGAAAAGAAGAATATACAAAAAACATAGAATTCCATAGATCCCGATTCATTTATGATGCAATGGTATATTACAAAAGAATGTTAGAGACACATAAGCTGAAGAGTAAAACTTGAATGCAAAATACAACCCTATACGTAGCATACCTGCACCAAGAGTTCCAATCAAAATACCAATGACGTGAGCATCTTTCGCCTTCTCCACCAGGTAACATCTGCATGAACTGTTACTCGCAAAAATCCAAGAATGGCATGTAAGGAAAGATCAACGGTACATGAGGTAGAGGATAAACAGATGATTTAACACGCAAAAAACAGAATACGAACTTCAGAAATTGTAAATAGAAATGAAGAGAAGCACATAAGGATGACTGTGCTGGAAATAACACCTACACTTAAGAATCTGTCTCTGTTAAGAAAAAGTCTGTCACCGAATGATCTTCTGTTGCATCATACCTAACCAAAACCAACAATAGAATTAAAGAAAAAGTAATTAAAAAAGGACAACTAGCCATAACAGAGGAACAAGAATATCGTACCCTGCTTCTTCAATACATAATCTAGTTTAGCAAACTAATGACGTCTAATACATATCAAGCGATAATACATCATGCAAATAATAAAACAAAAATTGAATGAAAGAAGGAAGAAAAGAAAAGAAAAGTTTGTTTCTTCGAGAATCAAACAGTGCAAGAAGAGCAAGTCACAAGTAATTCTACTCGATCCGCGTTCAATTATTTATTATTAATGAAATCTAATAAAAGATTGAAATGCTTAAATCTGACTGAATTTAGAATAGTATTCCAAGTTGCCTGCATACCTTCTTTCTTAAGAGCAAATCAAACATAATTATGCTAAATCCATGAAATCTAAAAAAAAAATTAATACTTAAATTTGATTGAACTTAGAGTGGTACCCTAATTTGCCTAGGTACTGTCTTTTTGAGAATCAAGATATACATAATTGTACTCAATCTACGAATTCTGATAAAAAATTAAAATGGTTAAATTTAACTGAACTTGGTGTAGTATACCAAGCTACCTACGTATCTTTTTTTTGAGAATTAAGTCATACATAGTTCTACTCCATCCATTTTATTTTTTGATGAGATTTAGTGGATCATAAAGTTATGGATTTCAAGAAAATTTAAAATGAAACACAATACTATCCGGATTTGTCAGATTTCGAGATGAAAGAGAAATTTAAGATATAGGATCTTTCAAATACTTATATATTTCAAGTAAAATTAAAGATGAAACTCTATATTTTTTGTTCACTTGTATAATTTTTGATTGCTTCAAGAGAGATTGAGAAATGAAATGGAGCATATAGCAATGTAAATAAAGAATAAAAAACAAAGACTATTGCTTTACCGGGTATCTTTAGAAAAAGTTGAAAAAATCACTTTCGTAGCACAAACAGGCTTAAAGAGTGGCTTTTGTTACTTTTTGGGTTTTGAGTGCAATAAGAAAATAAAGAATTGGTACTTTCTTAACATAATTAAATTTAAAGATCGACAAAACAAGGCTATATTACTGTCGAATGATAACAAAGAACTAATTCTTTCCCTTGAAAGTCTAAAAGGCCACATACGTTATTGTTGAAGGTTATTTGTGCTGAAACAAAGCAATGCAATTTTCTTTTTCAACATTTTTAAATATACCAGTACATTCAAAAGTCGTTGTTTTAAATTTTCTTCATTTGCCTTGCTAAAGACTCTATTCCCTACTCATTCTGTTTTGTAGTAATAAAAAATTACACGAGTAATCAAAATAAGTTAAATTTTATCTTTTATTTCCTTTGAGATATAGAAGTCTTTAAAGGCTATTATATTTTCAATTTCTCTTTCTTCTTGAAATCCAATAGAATTGGAAAGAATTGTATTCCATATTCAGTTTACTTGAAACTCAATAATAATTAGAAAAAGTTATATTCAGTATTTTATTATCCATGTAAGTCTAATAAAAATTTGAATGCTTAAATTTGACAGGACTTGTAGTAATATTTCAAGCTGCCGATGTACCTTTATATTTAGAATCAAGTGATATGTAATTCTTTTTAATTCACGAATTTTAATAAAAAATTAAAATGATTAAATTTGCTTAAACTTGGTGTACTATGCCAAGTTGCCAACGTGCCTTCTTTGTTGGATCAAGTTCTACTCCATCCATGTCATTTTTTATTAAACTTTGCTAAAGTAGTAGGCATCTTCAGCACATGTAAGTAAAGTAGAGTTCGATAGTTCAAGAGATAATGAAACTAGAATTATTATTGGGAGTTAGAAGAATGGAAAAGTTCGAGAGATAATGGCTGAAGAGGAAACGGGGAATGATAATTCACTTGAGTTAGCCCATATCATAACTTTCAACACCATAAAGACGAGTTAGTCAAGCCACTCATAATCCAAAATCTATCTTAGAACATAGAAGTTAAAAATTTCTTAGATTAGGATAGGATCAAAAAACACCTAACGAAGATTTGGCAAGATGTGTACTAATTTAGTTTGCTAAGTTTTTTTTTGTCTAAATACATCACTTGCTCTTAGGGATACATAAGTTATGTAGTATATGATTAGTAAAAGCATCAATTAATAATTATGAATAGGAAACTAAATCATAGAATATATATATATATCTGTAATAAGTGTTACGGGTTTTACAACGCACAAATAGCAAAGGCAAAGAACTTAATAAAAGAAGCAAACGTTTAATCTTAACCTCTTAGTAGCAATAATTCCTTCACCCATCCCTGTCTCTTTGCCTGCCTAAACGAGATTATACTAATATGCAATAAGTTCTTTTCTTATGAGAAAAATAATATTAAAGAGAAAGTGAGAATATACAAAAAAGAGAAGAGAATTAGACATACTCCCAAAGAAAGGAAAAAAGAAATAAACTAAAAAAATAAGACAGACTAACTCCCCTAACAAGGAATGCCATCCAAACTGAATGTGCAATTAGTGACAATACATAGGTTAGTAGCATAATGAAGACAAATGCTTCATTCAAAAACTATGAAAAAAAATGGAGAATGTTTTACCTCTTCTTGCCAATAACTAGGCAAACATCATCTGTTTCTCTTAACCCGCCTAAAAGACCACTTCAATATGCTAATATGTGATTGTGAAACTTGACGAGGTACCACTTTCTCATTGATGGACTTTCTGTGTAAACTCAAATTTAGAACTTTTTATTACAAATTTATATGAAAAAGGAAAGAAATGAGGAATGAAAGAAGGTAAAAAGAAAGTTTTCTATGCAAGCTCGGATTTAAACTATCCAATGTGATTGTAAATTTAAATTAAGAAACAAACATAGATAGAAAGAAAAAACACATAGAAGAGAAAGAAAAGAAAGAATGAAAGAAAGAAAGTTTTCTACCATATCTTGGATTCTCCCTCTAGAATGCTTCAGTGGCTTTAGGCAAGTGCCATAATATCCATGAATAATATGCAGATTATATAATATACAATAGCAAATGCATCATTAAATAACTGTGAAAAAGAAAATGAATCATTAAATCTCCTCGACAATAATTATGCCAACATCCTCCTCTTCTCTTAGGATATGATCTAGAAAGGAAAATTTTTATTCTAGATTTAGCTATTCACTTAGTAAGAGAATTAGGACTTCCATCACGTAATCGCAAGGCCTTTTCCAAGTATGTACACTAAAGCTAATATTCCATCCTAATCTTCTTACTTGATCATTATTTTGGCATAATTCAAGGTTTATCAATGATTAAATGTCCCCCTGACTAAAGAAAGCTTCTATTAAGCTCTTCACTTAAAGAAGACCATCTTGATGTAGAATAATCCTAAACTAGATTAGCTTTTCATACAATTTCTGTTAAGAACAAAGAACAAGACATCAAAAATCATCCTATCTCCATTCACGTACCACCCTTCTAAAATATTATAAGTGAAGGTAGTTACACTAAATAAATTAAAACATGATTCTATTTATTTTCTGTTGATTTGACCTTAATATAAATATAAAACAATACTACTTCCACAGCTACATTTCTTTAAGGTCAGAGAGAGAGAGAGAGAGGAGGTTTTTTATAAAAAAAAATACTTGGTTTTACGAAGTGTAAGAGATAGAACTTTTATCCTTTTTTTAACATTCTTAAATTTCTAAGACGAGAATAATATATGCAATGCAATTACATAATAGCTGCAAAACTTGTTAATTGTTAAATGCTGATCATACCATGCAGATCAAAATCTTCTATGTATCCGGCCTGAAAGAAGGAAAACCGTGCTTCTTCTAACTTATTCCTTTCTTCCACTGTATTAGAATTAATCAAATCTCGAAATTCCATAACATAGTCTCCAGTCCATTGTCTCCCTCTAGATTGAAAAAGAAGACAAGATTTGAGTATTCAAATCAAACTGCTTTACCTGAAAACAGGCCCAATAAATTGTGCAAAGAAACCAGCATCAAACTGCTTTACCTGGCTAATATTGCCCACATCCACAGCAACATGACTGTAATTCTTCCACAACTGCCAGTTGTTTCAGCTTAAATAAAATCATGTTTCCTTCTATCATGACCCAGATTTCGAAACAATATAAATAAATAATAATTTGCAAAATTACACATAAAAAATTACATAAAAGAAATATTTCACACTACAAATAATTAAATAAAAAAACCATTTTGATAGACAGAACTTGAATTTCACGGCCTCCATGAATGCAATGAATGACTTTATACTCCTCTTCTTGATCATATGCCTGCAAGTTAGGTGAAATGTTTTGTAATTTTTAAAGCATGGTAGAAAGATATAAATGCTCTCTTTCCAAATCCAAGGAGTGCCACGACCACCCATGTACAAAATATGAAATATTTACAACTAAATAAAAATATCAATTGGGTCCTC